GTGCTGGAAGCGAAAGAAGATAATTTACTCAAAAAGATAATTCCTCCGTGATTTCGTTCGAGCCACCGTAACACATAGGAAAGAGATAATAAGTCAACAATTAACAACTGAACGACCTCAGCGTCGCCTTTAATTAATATCAGAGAAATTTCAGAACGGAACGTGCCACGCCGACCAGAAGTTTGATCTCCTGAACGACCGCAGTTCCCGCTTTAATTATTCTACATATTAAAATGTAATCGTAGAAGGCGGTGAAAGGAGAACAAATAATGAAACAGTCGGGGGAGAAAGAGGAAAGGAAAAAAAGAAAAGGGAGGAAAGACTACTTTCGTTCGAGGTATTTAACGATTCATGAAACGTGCGGAAATGAAATTTAAATTTCTGTCGGAATGAATCGTGACCGGCGTTTGTCAACCGTTTAATTACTGGACTGGAGGATCCGTGAATTAAATTTGCCTCATTGATTTCATTTGAATTTCCACGGCGCGATTATTGTTTCCATAATTATTCGCTAACAATTTCCAGATTATTATGTAATAATATGCTCGGTCGTTAGTTCGTGTATTTTTTTTCGTTTCTTTTTTATCTTCCCTCCTCTCCCTCTTTGTACGCATAATAGCGTTGGCCCGTTATTTCGCGCACGCGTATATATATATTAGATAATAATTCACGGGATTCGCCCGTACGCCGCGCAAAATCTTCTGCAAAGCTTCTTAATTAATTTCGCAAGTAACTTCGTTAAAATGTAACGAACACCGATCGTGTTAAATACCCGAGGACTAAACCGTTCTTTAATCGCCGTGGAATTTATCATCGTCCACGGCGAGGAGCAATTTTCACTCAAAACTCGAGCATCGAACCCGGAGCGAATTGATCAATCGACGAAATTTTTGTCGTCGTTCTTTCGTTGCTTTTCAGTTGTCTAGAGAATAATTTCAGATATTTGAAGAAATTAATTTTTCTCTAACTGAGATCAATGTTGTGCCAATTTATTCGAATCTTCTTGCTGATTAGTAATATTTTAATATTAGTGGGTTGCAAAGTTAAATCATTAGGTGACCGAACGCAAGAGAGAATTTATTAATACCAACAACTTGTGATTTAGCTCGTAATGACATTAGCTCAATTTTGTCCACAGCGCTTACATATTTATTAATGAATTCTAAATTGGGGCAGCTACTCATTCGAGTTCGATGTATCAGTTTAACTACGACACAAAATCCCATAAGATGACACAGTGGAACGTCGATTATTCGAAACGTCGGTCATTCGAATAATTTCCATTACCTTAGTTACACACGACACATTTAAACTATAGGTCGAGCAATGTTTATGCGTGACACGTCGTTCCAATGCAAGAGGTTAAAGCTTATCAGAATTTACACCGTCTGTCAACCAATTACCATCCAAGAATCATGTGACAGTCGCCCCGTTGTTACCGTCAGCCCATAAATTCCACCGAACGAATTGCGCTGCTCCGTAAGCTGTGGCTGCGAATCACATCGCGGCCGAGTTAATTTCCCATTCGAGCTGGCGGAACGCGATCTCGAGCGAAACGGGAACGGAAACGGAAACCCTCTCCCGCTTCGAGACGAATGTACGAACGTGTTTTCTGTATTTCCTAACATTTGCAAAACGATTGACCATCGATCATCGATCGGGTCGTACGTTGGTAGAGAGCTCTATACCGATCAAAGATAAAGTGTACAACGTGTGATTGTACGTTGTAGCGTTCTCCGCTTGTAAACAAACAAGCTATTAAACAAACAGCCGGATGACGAGTTTGCTGCATTGATCCAACGTTGTGCTGTGCAGCGTTATCAAAGCCGCGTGGAACCGCGCGCTCGCATTTCATTCATTCGAGCAGGAATGATCGCATTGCTGCGGATCTGATACCGATACGCGGTGTCCACACGTAATCATTCGCCAATAGCTCCAGACTGGCAAACTTATCAGCTGTCAGTGGATTTGACTTTGTAACGCGGCTGGATGGATTGCGTGTGCTCGTGTGCCACTCGTGCTCTATCACGGCGCGTTGCGAGCCATACTTTCGTCCTCAATCCACGTATTCCCGTGTTTTTCTGTTCTGTTTCTTTTTATTTTTATTTTTTTGACGAAGGTTGCGTTCCCCTTGTTTATTTTAAGGGGCTGTCGATAGATTTGATAAACTTTATACGAATGTGATTTAATTTAATTTTTTAAAGCAATTAGTTTCTTTTTTTTTTTTAATTAATCAATTTCTCGACCCAGAGAATTAGTTTAATTTATCTCTCGAATCTATCTTTCGTAGCATCAATATTTCCTACGTTGTTTCCTGTATTATTTCACGATCACGTTGACGAATTAATAAACGTGTCACTGTATTTGATAAATTTTGCAAGAATAACGATTTTCTTGATAGTTAAAAGAATTTTATCAATTTCTCG